ATCTGTGTAGTGTTACATACCATCATACCATCTGTGTAGTGTTACATACCATCTGTGTAGTGTTACATACCATATAGTGTTACATACCATCTTTATAGTGTTACATACCATCTGTGTAGTGTTACATACCATATAGTGTTACATACCATCTGTGTAGTGTTACATACCATCTGTGTAGTGTTACATACCATCTGTGTATTGTTACATACCATCTGTGTAGTGTTACATACCATCTGTGTAGTGTCATCTGTGTAGTGTTACATACCATCTGTGTAGTGTTACATACCATCTGTGTAGTGTTACATACCATCTGTGTAGTGTTACATACCATCTGTGTAGTGTCATCTGTGTAGTGTTACATACCATCTGTGTAGTGTTACATACCATCTGTATAGTGTTACATACCATCTGTGTAGTGTTACATACCATCTGTGTAGTGTTAAATGCCATCTGTGTAGTGTTACATACCATCTGTGTAGTGTTACATATCATCTGTGTAGTGTTACATACCATCTGTATATGGTTACATACCATCTGTGTAGTGTTACATACCATCTGTGTAGTGTTACGTACCATATAGTGTTACATACCATCTGTGTAGTGTTACATACCATCTGTGTAGTGTTACATACCATCTGTGTAGTGTTACATACCATCTGTGTAGTGTTACATACCATCTGTGTAGTGTTACATACCATCTGTGTAGTGTTACGTACCATATAGTGTTACATACCATCTGTGTAGAGTTACATACCATCTGTATAGTGTTACATACCATCTGTGTTAAAATCTGTGTAATGTTACATACCATCTGTGTAGTGTTACATACCATCTGTATAGTGTTACATACCATCTGTGTAGTGTTACATACCATCTGTGTAGTGTTACATACCATCTAGTGTTACATACCATCTGTATAGTGTTACATACCATCTGTGTAGTGTTACATACCATCTGTGTAGTGTTAAATGTCATCTGTGTAGTGTTACATACCATCTGTGTAGTGTTACATGTGTGTAGTGTTACATACCATCTGTGTAGTGTTACATAACATCTGTGTAGTGTTACATACCATTTGTATATTGTTACATACCATCTGTGTAGTGTTACATACCATCTGTATACTGTTACATACCATCTGTGTAGTGTTACATACCATCTGTGTAGTGTTACATACCATCTGTGTAGTGTTACGTACCATCTGTGTAGTGTTACGTACCATCTGTGTAGTGTTACATACCATATAGTGTTACATACCATCTGTGTAGTGTTACATACCATCTGTATATGGTTACATACCATCTGTGTAGTGTTACATACCATCTGTTTAGTGTTACGTACCATATAGTGTTACATACCATCTGTGTAGTTTGACATACCATCTGTGTAGTGTTACATACCATCTGTGTAGTGTTACATACCATCTGTGTAGTGTTACATACCATCTGTATAGTGTTACATACCATCTGTGTAGTGTTACATACCATCTGTGTAGTGTTAAATGTCATCTGTGTAGTGTTACATACCATCTGTGTAGTGTCATCTGTGTAGTGTTACATACCATCTGTGTAGTGTTACATACCATCTGTGTAGTGTTACATACCATCTGTACAGTTTTACATACCATCTGTGTAGTGTTACATACCATCTGTGTAGTGTTACATACCATCTGTATAGTGTTACATACCATCTGTGTAGTGTTACATACCATCTGTGTAGTGTTACATACCATCTGTGTTACCATCTGTGTAGTGTTACATACCATCTGTGTAGTGTTACATACCATATAGTGTTACATACCATCTGTGTAGTGTTACATACCATCTGTGTAGTGTTACATACCATCTGTGTAGTGTTACATACCATCTGTGTAGTGTTACATACCATCTGTGTAGTGTTACATACCATCTGTATAGTGTTACATACCATCTGTGTAGTGTTACATACCATCTGTGTAGTGTTACATACCATATAGTGTTACATACCATCTGTGTAGTGTTACATACCATCTGTGTAGTGTTACGTACCATCTGTGTAGTGTTACATACCATCTGTATAGTGTTACATACCATCTGTGTAGTGTTACATACCATCTGTATAGTGTTACATACCATCTGTGTAGTGTTACATACCATTTGTGTAGTGTTACATACCATCTGTATAGTGTTACATACCATCTGTGTAGTATAACATACCATCTGTGTACTGTTACATATCATCTGTGTATTGTTACATACCATCTGTGTAGTGTTACATACCATCTGTGTAGTGTTACATCTGTGTAGTGTTACATACCATCTGTGTAGTAGTGTTACATACCATCTGTGTAGAGTTACATACCATCTGTGTAGTGTTACATACCATCTGTATAGTGTTACATACCATCTGTGTAGTGTTACATACCATTTGTGTATTGTTACATACCATCTGTGTAGTGTTACATACCATATAGTGTTACATACCATCTGTGTAGTGTTACATACCATATAGTGTTACATACCATCTGTGTAGTGTTACATACCATCTGTATAGTGTTACATACCATCTGTGTAGTGTTACATACCATCTGTGAAGTGTTACATATCATCTGTGTAGTGTTACATACAATTTGTGTAGTGTTACATACCATCTGTGTAGAGTTACATACCATCTGTGTAGTGTCATCTGTGTAGTGTTACATACCATCTGTGTAGTGTTACATACCATCTGTATAGTGTTACATACCATCTGTGTAGTGTTAAATGCCATCTGTGTAGTGTTACATACCATCTGTGTAGTGTTACATACCATCTGTGTAGTGTTACATACCATCTGTATATTGTTACATACCATCTGTGTAGTGTTACATACCATATAGTGTTACATACCATCTATGTAGTGTTACATACCATCTGTGTAGTGTTACATACCATATGTGTAGTGTTACATACCATATAGTGTTACATACCATCTGTGTAGTGTTACATACCATATAGTGTTACATACCATCTGTGTAGTGTTACATACCATATGTGTAGTGTTACATACCATCTGTGTAGTATAACATACCATCTGTGTACTGTTACATATCATTTGTGTAGTGTTACATACCATCTGTGTAGTGTTACATACCATCTGTGTAGTGTTACATACCATCTGTATAGTGTTACATACCATATAGTGTTAAATACCATCTTTATAGTGTTACATACCATCTGTGTAGTGTTACATACCATCTGTGTAGTGTTACATACAATCTGTGTAGTGTTACGTATCATATAGTGTTACATACCATCTGTGTAGTGTTACATACCATCTGTGTAGTGTTACATACCATCTGTGTAGTGTTACATACCATCTGTGTAGTGTTAAATGTCATCTGTGTAGTGTTACATACCATCTGTGTAGTGTCATCTGTGTAGTGTTACATACCATCTGTGTAGTGTTACATACCATCTGTATAGTGTTACATACCATCTGTGTAGTGTTACATACCATCTGTGTAGTGTTACATACCATCTGTGTAGTGTTACATACCATCTGTATATTGTTACGTACCATCTGTGTAGTGTTACATACCATCATACCATCTGTGTAGTGTTACATACCATCTGTGTAGTGTTATATACCATATAGTGTTACATACCATCTGTGTAGTGTTACATACCATCTGTGTAGTGTTAAATGCCATCTGTGTAGTGTTACATACCATCTGTGTAGTGTTACATACCATCTGTGTAGTGTTACGTACAATCTGTGTAGTGTTACATATCATTTGTGTAGTGTTAAATACCATCTGTGTAGTGTTACATACCAGCTGTACAGTTTTACATACCATCTGTGTAGTGTTACATACCATCTGTGTAGTGTTACATACCATCTGTGTAGTGTTACATACCATCTGTATATTGTTACATACCATCTGTGTAGTGTTACATACCATCTGTTTAGTGTTACGTACCATATGTGTAGTGTTACATACCATCTGTGTAGTGTTACATACCATATGTGTAGTGTTACATACCATCTGTGTAGTATAACATACCATCTGTGTACTGTTACATATCATTTGTGTAGTGTTACATACCATCTGTGTAGTGTTACATACCATCTGTGTAGTGTTACATACCATCTGTATAGTGTTACATACCATCTGTGTAGTGTTACATACCATCTGTGTAGTGTTACATACCATCTGTATATGGTTACATACCATCTGTGTAGTGTTACATACCATCTGTGTAGTGTTACATACCATCTGTGTAGTGTTACATACCATATGTGTAGTGTTACATACCATCTGTTTAGTGTTACATACCATCTGTGTAGTGTTACATACCATCTGTGTAGTGTTACATACCATATGTGTAGTGTTACATACCATATAGTGTTACATACCATCTGTGTAGTGTTACATACCATATGTGTAGTGTTACATACCATATAGTGTTACATACCATCTGTGTAGTGTTACATACCATATGTGTAGTGTTACATACCATCTGTGTAGTGTTACATACCATATGTGTAGTGTTACATACCATATAGTGTTACATACCATATGTGTAGTGTTACATACCATCTTTATAGTGTTACATACCATATGTGTAGTGTTACATACCATATGTGTAGTGTTACATACCATCTGTGTAGTGTTACATACCATATGTGTAGTGTTACATACCATGTGTGTAGTGTTACGTACCATATAGTGTTACATACCATCTGTGTAGTGTTACATACCATATGTGTAGTGTTACATACCATATAGTGTTATGTACCATATAGTGTTACATACCATCTGTGTAGTGTTACATACCATATGTGTAGTGTTACATACCATGTGTGTAGTGTTACGTACCATATAGTGTTACATACCATCTGTGTAGTGTTACATACCATCTGTGTAGTGTTACATACCATATAGTGTTACATACCATCTGTGTAGTGTTACATACCATCTGTATAGTGTTACATACCATATGTGTAGTGTAACGTACCATGTGTGTAGTGTTACATACCTGTCCCCACAAATGGGTCCATGATCAGATGATTCTTTCTCACCTTGCCAATATTTGCCATTAGAAGAGATAGACCAGCATCCATACTGGTGTTAGCTGTAAACAAAATATAACTATAGTTCATTCATCCCGAATATCACTAATAAAGTATACAAATTGATTTGTCTGAACATAACATAGAATTCAACTCATAATACTGATTTATAATAAGATCATAACACTACTCATCATTACAAGTTCAGTGTTAGTGTAGGCCTTATGCCTTATGTAGGTCCCAGGTTTAGAGTAGGTCCCAGGCTTAGTATAGGTCCCAGGCTTAGTGTAAGTCCTAGGCTTAGTATAGGTCCCAGGCTTAGAGTAGGTCCCAGGCTTAGTATAGGTCCCAGGCTTAGTGTAAGTCCTAGGCTTAGTATAGGTCCCAGGCTTAGTGTAGGTCCCAGGCTTAGTGTAGGTCCCAGGCTTAGTGTAAGTCCTAGGCTTAGTATAGGTCCCAGGCTTAGTGTAGGTCCCAGACTTAGTGTAGGTCTCAGACTTAGTGTAGGTCTTAGGCTTAGTGTAGGTCCTAGGCTTAGTAAAGGACTGAGGCTTAGTGTAAGTCCTAGGCTTAGTGTAGGTCCCAGGTTTAGTGTAGGTCCCAGACAAAGTGTAGGTCCTAGGCTTAGTGTAAGTCTTATTCATAGTGTAGGTCTAAAGCTTTGTGTAGGTCCTTGGCTTAATGTAGGTCTTAGGCTTAGTATAGGTCCTAGGCTTAATATAGGTCAAAGGCTTAGCATTGGTCCTAGGCTTAGTATAGGACTGAGGCTTAGTGTAAGTCCTAGGCTTAGTGTAGGTCCCAGACTTAGTGTAGGTCTTTGGTTTAGTATAGGTCCTAGGCTTAGTGTAGGTCAAAGGCTTAGTATAGGTCCTAGGCTTAGTGTAGGACTGAGGCTTAGTGTAGGACTGAGGCTTAGTGTAGGCCCTAGGCTTAGTGGAGGTCTTTGGCTTTTTGAAGGACTTAGGCTAAGTATAGGTCCTAGGCTTAGTGTAGGTCTTAAGCTTAGTGTAGGTCCTAGGCTTAGTGTAGGTCCCAGACACAGTGTAGGTCTTAAGCTTAGTGCAGGTCCCAGACTTAGTTTAGGTCTTAGGCTTAGTGTAGGTCCGAGGCTTAGTGTAGGTCCCAGACTTAGTGTAGGTCTTAGGCTTAGTATAGGTCCTAGACTTAGTGTAGGTCAAAGGCTTAGTATAGGTCCTAGGATTAGTGTAGGACAGAGGCTTAGTGTAGGTCCTAAGCTTAGTGTAGGTCTTTGGCTTTTTGAAGAACCAAGGCTTAGTATAGGTCCTAGGCTTAGTGTAGGACGGAGGCTTAATATAGGTACAAAGCTTAGTGTAGGTCCCAGACTTAGTGTAGGTCTTAGGCTTAGTGTAAGTCTTATGGATAGTGTAGGTCCTAGGCTTAGTGTAGGTCCCAGACTTAGTGTAGGTCTTAGGCTTAGTATAGGTCCTAGGCTTAGTGTAGGTCAAAGGCTTAGTGTAGGTCCTAAGCTTAGTGTAGGTCTTTGGCTTTTTGAAGAACCTAGGCTTAGGCTTAGTGTAGGACAGAGGCTTAATATAGGTACAAGGCTTAGTGTAGATCTTAGGCTTAGTTAGGTCTTAGGCTTAGTGTAGGTCCTCAGCTTAGTGTAGGTCCTAAGTTTAGTGAAGGTCCTAGGCTTAGTGAAGGTCATAGGCTTAGTGAAGGTCATAGGTCATAGGCTTAGTGTAGGTCCTAAGCTAACAGGTGTTTATATACAGTATACAGACAGTCAAAACAGGTGTTTATATACAGTATACAGACAGTCAAAACAGGTGTTTATATACAGTATACAGACAGTCAAAACAGGTGTTTATATACAGTATACAGACAGTCAAAACAGGTGTTTATATACAGTATACAGACAGTCAAAACAGGTGTTTATATACAGTATACAGACAGTCAAAACAGGTGTTTATATACAGTATACAGACAGTCAAAACAGGTGTTTATATACAGTATACAGACAGTCAAAACAGGTGTTTATATACAGTATACAGACAGTCAAAACAGGTGTTTATATACAGTATACAGATAGTCAAAACAGGTGTTTATATACAGTATACAGACAGTCAAAACAGGTTACAGACGGTCAAAACAGGTGTTTATATACAGTATACAGACGGTCAAAACAGGTGTTTATATACAGTATACAGACGGTCAAAACAGGTGTTTATATACAGTATACAGACAGTCAAAACAGGTGTTTATATACAGAGTCATACAGATATACAGTCAACAGTCAAAACAGGTGTTTATATACAGTATAAAACAGGTGTTTATATACAGTATACAGTCAAAACAGGTGTTTATATATACAGACAGTCAAAACAGGTGTTTATATACAGTATACAGACAGTCAAAACAGGTGTTTATATACAGTATACAGACAGTCAAAACAGGTGTTTATATACAGTATACAGACAGTCAAAACAGGTGTTTATATACAGTATACAGACAGTCAAAACAGGTGTTTATATACAGTATACAGACAGTCAAAACAGGTGTTTATATACAGTATACAGACAGTCAAAACAGGTGTTTCTATACAGTATACAGATAGTCAATACAGGTGTTTATATACAGTATACAGACATTCAAAACAGGTGTTTATATACAGTATACAGACATTCAAAACAGGTCAAACAGACAGTCAAAACAGGTGTTTATATACAGTATACAGACAGTCAAAACAGGTGTTTATATACAGTATACAGACAGTCAAAACAGGTGTTTATATACAGTATACAGACAGTCAAAACAGGTGTTTATATACAGTATACAGACAGTCAAAACAGGTGTTTATATACAGTATACAGACAGTCAAAACAGGTGTTTATATACAGTATACAGACAGTCAAAACAGGTGTTTATATACAGTATACAGACGGTCAAAACAGGTGTTTATATACAGTATACAGACGGTCAAAACAGGTGTTTATATACAGTATACAGACGGTCAAAACAGGTGTTTATATACAGTATACAGACAGTCAAAACAGGTCAATATACAGGTAAAACAGATATACAGTATACAGACAGTCAAAACAGGTGTTTATATACAGTATACAGACAGTCAAAACAGGTGTTTATATACAGTATACAGACAGTCAAAACAGGTGTTTATATACAGTATACAGACAGTCAAAACAGGTGTTTAAAGATTATACAGACAGTCAAAACAGGTGTTTATATACAGTATACAGACAGTCAAAACAGGTGTTTATATACAGTATACAGACAGTCACAGACAGTCAAAACAGGTGTTTCTATACAGTATACAGATAGTCAATACAGGTGTTTATATACAGTATACAGACAGTCAAAACAGGTGTTTAAAGATTATACAGACAGTCAAAACAGGTGTTTATATACAGTATACAGACAGTCAAAACAGGTGTTTATATACAGTATACAGACAGTCAAAACAGGTGTTTATATACAGTATACAGACAGTCAAAACAGGTGTTTATATACAGTATACAGACAGTCAAAACAGGTGTTTATATACAGTATACAGACAGTCAAAACAGGTGTTTATATACAGACAGTCAAAACAGGTGTTTATATACAGTATACAGACAGTCAAAACAGGTGTTTATATACAGTATACAGACAGTCAAAACAGGTGTTTAAAGATTATACAGACAGTCAAAAAAGGTATTTATATACAGTATACAGACAGTCAAAACAGGTGTTTATATACAGTATACAGACAGTCAAAACAGGTGTTTATATACAGTATACAGACAGTCAAAACAGGTGTTTATATACAGTATACAGACAGTCAAAACAGGTGTTTATATACAGTATACAGACAGTCAAAACAGGTGTTTATATACAGTATACAGACAGTCAAAACAGGTGTTTATATACAGTATACAGACAGTCAAAACAGGTGTTTATATACAGTATACAGACAGTCAAAACAGGTGTTTATATACAGTATACAGACAGTCAAAACAGGTGTTTATATACAGTATACAGACAGTCAAAACAGGTGTTTATATACAGTATACAGACAGTCAAAACAGGTGTTTATATACAGTATACAGACAGTCAAAACAGGTGTTTATATACAGTATACAGACAGTCAAAACAGGTGTTTATATACAGTATACAGACAGTCAAAACAGGTGTTTATATACAGTATACAGACAGTCAAAACAGGTGTTTATATACAGTATACAGACAGTCAAAACAGGTGTTTATATACAGTATACAGACAGTCAAAACAGGTGTTTATATACAGTATACAGACATATACAGACAGTCAAAACAGGTGTTTATATACAGTATACAGACAGTCAAAAAAGGTATTTATATACAGTATACAGTCAAAACAGGTGTTTATATACAGTATACAGACAGTCAAAACAGGTGTTTATATACAGTATACAGACAGTCAAAACAGGTGTTTATATACAGTATACAGACAGTCAAAAAAGGTATTTATATACAGTATACAGACAGTCAAATCAGGTGTTTAAAGATTATACGGAGTTAAAAAAGGTACTTATATACAGTATACAGACAGTCAAAACAGGTGTTTATATACAGTATACAGACAGTCAAAACAGGTGTTTATATACAGTATACAGACAGTCAAAACAGGTGTTTATATACAGTATACAGACAGTCAAAACAGGTGTTTATATACAGTATACAGACAGTCAAAACAGGTTTTTATATACAGTATACAGACAGTCAAAACAGGTGTTTATATACAGTATACAGACAGTCAAAACAGGTGTTTATATACAGTATACAGACAGTCAAAACAGGTGTTTATATACAGTATACAGACAGTCAAAACAGGTGTTTATATACAGTATACAGACAGTCAAAAAAGGTATTTATATACAGTATACAGACAGTCAAAACAGGTGTTTATATACAGTATACAGACAGTCAAAACAGGTGTTTATATACAGTATACAGACAGTCAAAACAGGTGTTTATATACAGTATACAGACAGTCAAAACAGGTGTTTATATACAGTATACAGACAGTCAAAACAGGTGTTTAAAGGTGTTTATATACAGTATACAGACAGTCAAAACAGGTGTTTATATACAGACAGTACTTTTATATACATACAGACATCAAAACAGGTGTTTATATACAGTATACAGTATACAGACAGTCAAAACAGGTGTTTATATACAGTATACAGACAGTCAAAACAGGTGTTTATATACAGTATACAGTCAGTCAAAACAGGTGTTTATATACAGTATACAGACAGTCAAAACAGGTGTTTATATACAGTATACAGACAGTCAAAACAGGTGTTTATATACAGTATACAGACAGTCAAAACAGGTGTTTATATACAGTATACAGACAGTCAAAACAGGTGTTTATATACAGTATACAGACAGTCAAAACAGGTGTTTATATACAGTATACAGACAGTCAAAACAGGTGTTTATATACAGTATACAGACAGTCAAAACAGGTGTTTATATACAGTATACAGACAGTCAAAACAGGTGTTTATATACAGTATACAGACAGTCAAAACAGGTGTTTATATACAGTATACAGACAGTCAAAACAGGTGTTTATATACAGTATACAGACAGTCAAAACAGGTGTTTATATACAGTATACAGATAGTCAAAACAGGTGCTTAAAGATTATACAGACAGTTAAAAAAGGTATTTAAAGATTATACAGACAGTCAAAAAAGGTATTTAAAGATTATACAGACAGTCAAAAAAGGTATTTAAAGATTTATACAGACAGTCAAAAAAGGTATTGCAAACTTTTCAATTTTGCCAAAGAATCAATAAAATCGTTAATTAACATAACTGGTTCAACTTCACTCTTGTCACATTCACTTTCGATATCATCTGTCTCCTCTGATTCACAATCTGTGTCCTCCTCTCGAATGCATGCCAGTATTGAGGAGGCTGGGTTATCCCAATTGGTCAAACTATCATCGCAGGTTTTGACATTTGCGTCAATTGAACACAGTTCCTTAAAGTCACATCCGAAAATTTCATGTGACATTTTTACAACACTTAAAAGGATATCATCATCATCGTTGTCATTGTCATCGGAACCCGCAGGATCACTGTCTTCCTGTACTTGGGAGTTTGTAGTTTGGTGTGAGTTCTCAGTCATTCAGTCAAACCGCGCCTTTTTTAAACACTTCTCGATAGTAGTCTTCCACCTCATCCCACAACTTCTTTAACCAGTAAATTGCGTCCAGAATCAATATATCGCGCAACATTTCACTTTTGCTTTTTGTGGTTCTATCCAATTCCTTAATCATGTGATTAAGTTGACGCTTGTGAAATTTAAGTTTCAAAGTTTATATTATATCTTAATCCACTGGCTGAGCCTTGGTGGTGACATTTGGGAAGAATTTCAGCTTTAGCTGATCCAGTTGGAGTTTTGGATGGGAGGGGGCATTATCTATGAAAAGTAAAATGTTCCTCTTTTGTCGTCTCATAATTCAGACTTTAGCCATCATCCATATTGAATATGTTGTGTGCTTCGTATCCCTTACCGTTCGGCTTTTCTTTTTAATATTTGGAGAACTTGCGTCCTGCCAACACTGAGGTCTTTAGCAACGGCCCATGCACTTTTTCCAGTGTCAAGCATCGAAAGTGCATTGTAGCACTCTTCAAGAGTTTAAGTTTTTCGTTTGCTGCTCATATTTCGAAGTGATTTGCCACAATAGTGATAATATGCCTGTATTGTGTATACCAGTGACGTAAAAGAAATTAAACTCAATATAAAACGCATGGTGAATTGTGTTTACATGCCATCAGCTGTTTTCTATGTAGGAATGTTCACGTGGCGAGAAAACGTGACTTGCAGTCAAGAAAGCTTGTCAAATGACTTGTGGAAAAAACGGCCGTTTAAACAAGGTTCGATCACGAGTTTGGGGACGAAAAGGGTGGCCGCTGGCCATGTTAGACAGGTGGCTGTTAAATTAGGTATCATTAATAAGCAAAAACGATTGGGAGGGTCTGAAAACGGCCGTTATAAGCATGTGGCCGTCTAACTAAGGTGGCCGTTATGACAGGTTAGACTGTATATTACAAAGAAAACGAGATCGAACATTTAGTCTGGTAGATTCAGTAATATCGGCAGTCTTCCTAGGATGGATTACTAGTGGAATACAGGAGTCCTGTTCAAAGATGTGTAAACAGCAAATATCGAGGACCACCTATAGGAGGATTCTGAGGACGGCATACACAGCACCCCAACTTTTTTTTGTTTTTGCATGTCAACTATTAAACAGTTTTGATTCTTCCTATCGATATTGTCTGGTTGTCTATATTTGCTATTTTATAGATTCTTTTTCTTTCTTTTTTTTTGTTTTTGTTACACAATATTTTATTATTCCAGCGATAATTGAGACTGCCAGGGTTGGGACTCTGGGATCACTCCCTTACAAATAATGCCCTCTCCACAGAAGGGTTCTCGCACACCATACACCATTCATATGTACAAAATATACATATTTACATAGTTTTTTTCCAAATATCTCCATTCTTCTTTTACAACTACTTCACATCACTTTCAAACAGTTCATTGTACAGTTTTGTTTTATACAAGCTGATCCAATTTTCACACACATTTTACACATAATACACACTGAATATCTTGTAATATCAAACAAGGGCCTGTGGACTGATGTAGGCCTTTAGGAGGATGGCTGGGGTTTCTATCTCTTTTGATTAAAGGAGATTTAAAGGGACACAACTCCATTTTATTGCTATCTTATAAATATGTTCAACTATATATTATATATTTTGACTTTACCTGCCTTCCAAAATAGATGTGATGTGGATGGTCTGGAGGCTGGCTGCCATATGGTCCATAATCCTCCAAAAGATAAAATGTCCCATCTGGATTTTTTAAATTTACTTCACCTTGAAAATCTAGCACATCATCAGGCAAATTCTACAGAAAAAAAAATGTGCATCAAAATTAAGTCTTAACAAGTACTAATTGTAGTGGGGACCATTACAAATGTCCCCCAAATGACCATTCAGCAGTAAATGATCACAATAATCAGACCTGCAGTCATGCCAAACATGGACAACGCCATTTTGCTCCTATAGTGCCACCTAATACATATATACCAATTTTCACGAAAATCGGACAATATCTAAAATTTGGCCAAATTCTGACCACAGCTGACCACTCAGATGACCGATCGATGAGCGAATGAAAAATGGACTATGCCATTTTGCTCCTAGTTCCACCTTATACATATATACTAATTTTCACGAAAATCAGACAATATCTAAAATTTGGCCAAATTTTGACCACAACTGACCGCTCAGATGACCAACTGGAAAAATTCAAGTGGCCTGCACTCAGCCTCGCATGTATGAATATGTGTGTAAAGTTTTTTAAATTCCATGCAATAGTTTTTGAGAAACGCGTTGGAAACCTCGTTTTGGGGACATAAATATGGCTGTATAAACTACAGAAAATACTCCCACTTGTTCCTCTAGATGTTATCAACAATTGCACTGTGTCTAGTAATGGGAGGGAGTCCCATGGGTCTTAACGGTCACCGCAGTCACAAAGCTTCTTCTAACATAGAAGTTATTTTGTTACAAAAAGTAATGTAACTTTAACTATATTGTATATACAATGTGAATGTAAATTGTATATACATTTACTGCTGTCCCATGTTTGAATCAAAAGAAATTACACGCAAGATTTGAATTTTCCTATATATAATCTTCCATCCAGGAACAGTAGAATATCTGTGAAATTTCAGCATCAATTTGACTCATTTTTGACCATGTCAATCAGCCCCTGGGGGTCAGTCAAGGTCAATATGGGCATCTCATCAAACTATCAGCTAACACTAATAGAAAAAAATCTAACCAAGTTTGAGCTATTTTTGAAAGAAAATAAACAAATTATGCTCAAAAATGTAATTTTCCTATACAAAATACAGTAAATTTTATTCCCTCCCCAAGGGAAAATGTGAGATCCATTTCTGAAGGATTTTGTAAAATTTCGTTGAAATCGGTTTAGGGGTTTTCTAGAAGTCAAAAATGTTAAAATTTTACAACCTATGATAGAAGACTGTAATAGCAATTATAAAACCTGTTACATATATATATAATACTTTCAAACTACTATGAATCAAACTTCCATGATTCAAAATTCTTGATGTATCAAAGTTTTTGTCTGTTCACAAATTTCATTCTGATATATTGCTGCTGATTTACCCCTCTATGAATCTAAGTTTTATAAATCATACTTTGGGATGTATCAGTTTTTTCATGGGCCGTAAACTGTGATAACACAGTAATTGACACTTCATGATACAAACATTTACCTTTACAGGTATTATCACCCCATAGCAACACACATTTCAACACAGATTGCTACCTGACAATGGGATTAATTATTATTGGCTTTTTGATAAGCTATTACTAAATGACTGGACACAGATTAAAGTTTAATTGCTCACTTACAAGCTATGGTATCTAATAAATGATAATGGGACCTCATGTGATGTTTACCACCACCATTGCAGTAATGGCACTTAGTTTGGTCTAATTTACAAAATTGTGAAAAAATCAGAGGAAATCCTGTCTCTTGGATGATGTCATACATACCCAAAGCATCACTTTAAGTTTAAAGTATAAAAACATGAAAAGCAAGGATATTTATCTGTCAATCATTTTCTTCTATTGACCCAGAGTTGCTGTCTTCAGAATATCAGCAAACATTTGTGTCATTCTATGACCAAAAATGTGTGAGGTTAGTGCTGTCTTCTCTGGACTGAATACATTATATTAATTTGCTTTCATTGAAATTCATTAGTACCCATAACATGTATGTATCAGTCTTAAAGTAATTACACTAACACTTCACCACTCTAATGGGCCATGTCATTTCAAATCAATCTGTAAAATAAACATGCTGTGTGACATGAAGGTATAAATGTAAACATAAGCATACATTGTCAATTTCTTGTTGATTTCTATTTAAAGAAATGTTTTTATCTTTTCATGAATGAAAATGTTTTGTTTTAAGATCAAAATGCACCTTTTCATTTACACTTGTGTTTTTGTATTTGTCATCTTTGTTCAGTTGAATATTGTGTCATCAAGTGCCACTATAGCCATGAACATGAAGACATTGATAGCCCAATGATTTAAAGGTGAAGTAATTGTGGTAGTCCCTTGAGCTTCAAAACATCAAAGTTTTTCTGTATAATTACTTGAACCACACACCTCAGATCTTCACCCGAGAAACACACACTGTCCTCTATATGGATAAAACCACACACCTCAGATCTTCACCCGAGAAACACACACTGTCCTCTATATGGATAAAACCACACACCTCAGATCTTCACCCGAGAAACACACACTGTCCTCTATATGGATAAAACCACACACCTCAGATCTTCACCCGAGAAACACACACTGTCCTCTATATGGATAAAACCACACACCTCAGATCTTCACCCGAGAAACACACACTGTCCTCTATATGGATAAAACCACACACCTCAGATCTTCACCTGATAAACACATTGTCCTCTATATGAATAAAACCACACACCTCAGATCTTCACCCGAGAAACACACACTGTCCTCCATATGGATAAAACCACACACCTCAGGTCTTCACCCGAGAAACACACACTGTCCTCTATATGGATAAAACCACACACCTCAGATCTTCACCCGAGAAACACACACTGTCCTCTATATGGATAAAACCACACACCTCAGATCTTCACCCGAGAAACACACACTGTCCTCTATATGGATAAAACCACACACCTCAGATCTTCACCCGAGAAACACACACTGTCCTCTATATGGATAAAACCACACACCTCAGATCTTCACCCGAGAAACACACACTGTCCTCTATATGGATAAAACCACACACCTCAGATCTTCACCCGAGAAACACACACTGTCCTCTATATGGATAAAACCACACACCTCAGATCTTCACCCGAGAAACACACACTGTCCTCTATATGAATAAAACCACACACCTCAGATCTTCACCTGATAAACACACACTGTTCTCTATATGGATAAAACCACACACCTCAGATCTTCACCCGAGAAACACACACTCTCCTCTATATGGATAAAACCACACACCTCAGATCTTCACCTGATAAACACACACTGTCCTCTATATGGATAAAACCACACACCTCAGATCTTCACCCGAGAAACACACACTGTCCTCTATATGGATAAAACCACACACCTCAGATCTTCACCTGATAAACACACACTGTCCTCTATATGGATAAAACCACACACCTCAGATCTTCACCTGATAAACACACACTGTCCTCTATATGAATAAAACCACACACCTCAGATCTTCACCTGATAAACACACACTGTCCTCTATATGGATAAAACCACACACCTCAGATCTTCACCCGAGAAACACACACTGTCCTCTATATGGATAAAACCACACACCTCAGATCTTCACCTGATAAACACACACTGTCCTCTATATGGATAAAACCACACACCTCAGATCTTCACCTGATAAACACACACTGTTCTCTATATGGATAAAACCACACACCTCAGATCTTCACCCGAGAAACACACACTGTCCTCTATATGGATAAAACCACACACCTCAGATCTTCACCCGAGAAACACACACTGTCCTCTATATGGATAAAACCACACACCTCAGATCTTCACCTGATAAACACATTGTCCTCTGTGTGACTAACACTTACTTTAAACTTTTCCAATTTATAAAGATGACTGAGTTTCTTGTTAAAAGCATCTAGCTCCAACTTGAAGGATTTTTCTTTCACGAAATGTGGTGCCTGAAAAACAAAATGGAGAGTTTAAAATGAACCATAAACAGTTATGTTTCAATATGAGTATTGGTGTCATATCACACAAGTAACTATCAATGTCATATAATGTCATAACAAACACTGATAACCAAATATACTTCAGTTCTAGATAAGTACTATCATGTCCCAACAGCCCAAATTTCTACTTAGTACATAACTCATTGATTTTTATACAAACCATGACATTTCTGCTGGTGTCTCTCAGACTTTTGTTCAGTTCTATATAAGTGGTGCCATGTCCCCACAGTTCAATTATGTTCCTGGTAATAAAAAAAGGATATATAGTTATACATCACTATTTTCAGCATTCCATCTTTTCCCTGAAGTGATTTCTAAATCAGTATCCTCAACGCTTACTATATGGAACACCTCATCCCTTTTCCCTGAAGTGATTTCTAAATCAGTATCCTCAATGCTTGCTATTTGGAACACCTCATCCCTTTTCCCTGAAGTGATTTCTAAATCAGTATCCACAATGCTTGCTATTTGGAACACCTCATCCTTAAATCAATGCTTGCTATTTGGAACACCTCATCCTTTTTCCCTGAAGTGATTTCTAAATCAGTATCCTCAATGCTTGCTATTTGGAACACCTCATCAAACTTTTCCCTGAAGTGATTTCTAAATCAGTATCCTCAATGCTTGCTATTTGGAACACCTCATCCCTTTTCCCTGAAGTGATTTCTAAATCAGTATCCTCAATGCTTGCTATTTGGAACACCTCATTCCTTTTCCCTGAAGTGATTTCTAAATCAGTATCCTCAATGCTTGCTATTTGGAACACCTCATCCCTTTTCCCTGAAGTGATTTCTAAATCAGTATCCTCATTGTTTGTTCTTTTCTTGCTATTTCTTGAGAGTTGCCAGTGGACCTTTCTTAAATTTTATATGTAGGTTCATAATATATTGATTGTATGATTTATTGATACACTTACTTTATCAAAACAGACCGACTTCCAATTTTTCTCACACTCTCCTCAGAGTACATCTTCACTAATAAATAAGGGTTCTGTTGAAATAAAAAAGTACAAATTCAAAATCAACTAAATAATGTACTGTAAATCACTTATTGATGGGATTTATTTTCATGCTAATATGCAAGGAGACTGAATCACAATTTAAGATCCCTCACTATGACTTTCACAAAAACAACTCTAGATGGAGTCTTGGAGAGTCTAGGTCTCTACTAGCTCATCATTTTTAATTTGAAGTCTTTTCTAGATAAGCATTCATTACATCATGTATTCATGAATATATCAAAAAAGGTAAGTTTACAAAATAAAGTATTCATCAAATTTTAGTGATTTCCAATAATATTAATGTTCCTCGATTTCAAAAAAACTGCACAATCATTCATTTTTGTAGATAATTCATTTTTGATGATTTTGAGGGAACAATGTAATCACAGTGAAAATAATGAAGCCAAATGAAACCACATTACTCATTCTTTATGACCTAAAATCAGATCCCACAATTAGAGGTTTCTCTTTATAAGTACATGGCAGACTTAACTACATTCCCACTATAATACAAGTAGAATGACATATCACTGATAACACTCAACTACATTCCCACTATAATACCAGTAGAATGACATATCACTGATAACACTCAACTACATTCCCAGTATAATACAAGTAGAATGACATATCACTGATAACACTCAACTACATTCCCACTATAATACAAGTAGAATGACATATCACTGATAACACTCAACTACATTCCCACTATAATACAAGTAGAATGACATATCACTGATAACACTCAACTACATTCCCACTATAATACTAGTAGAATGACATATCACTGATAACACTCAACTACATTCCCACTATAATGACATACATTAACATGAATATCTTTTTCTTGCCATTGGATATCAGCATGGAACAAGTCAATCAAGGCCTTGAACTCCTGTGTTAAAAAAGAGAGATATAAAGCAGACTTAAGTGACAAAATATTGATGTACAAGTCATTTATTATCAGTTGTCAACTTCACAATATATTACAAGGTTTAATCTGTATAGCAATATATTCTACATGTAACAACAAGGAAGAAAAATTTTTGAGCATTGAATCGCATGGGTGTTAAATTGTGATGGGTTTTGCATCCTCGATACTCCAGGGGTTACAATCACTTTCACTCTCTGTACCCCTGGAACCATCCTCGATACTCCATGTGTAACAACCACTTTCGCTCTCTATACCCCTGGAACCATCCTCGATACTCTCGTGGTTAAAATCACTTTCACTCTCTGTACCCCTGGAACCATCCTCGATACTCCAGGGGTTACAATCACTTTCGCTCTCTATTCCCATGGAACCATCCTCGATACTCCAGGGGTTACGATCACTTTCTCTCTCTTTACCCCTGGAACCATCCTCGATACTCCAGGGGTTACGATCACTTTCGCTCTCTATTCCCATGGAACCATCCTCGATACTCCAGGGGTTACGATCACTTTCTCTGTCTGTACCCCTGGAACCATCCTCGATACTCCAGGGGTTACAATCACTTTCGCTCTCTATTCCCATGGAAAATGTCATGGCAAAAATTATCATTCTATGTGAAACACCTTGTGGACTAGATGAAATGACTAGTTTGATACTTTGATTTATATAAAGAATCTTGAGGTCATTGACATATATTGTAATGACTTTGAAGTTGGGTGTCACTCCTTTGTAATCTTCGAAAGGAGTATACCAGCCTGTGATTGATCAGTTTTTTCTCCCGAAACCAATCAAATTACTTCACTTGTGGCTTCATCTTTGCCGTTACATGTTCCAACCTGGGGTGTAGAGAGGGAACATGATTATAATCCCTGGAGTATCGAGGATGGTTCCTGGGGTGTAGAGAGCGAACATGATGGTAACCCCTGGAGTACCAAGGACGGTTCCAGGGGTGTAGAGAGCGAACATGATTGTAACCCCTGGAGTATCAAGGACGGTTCCAGGGGTACAAAGAGCAAAAGTGTTTGTAACCACTGGAGTATCAAGTGCTACATACTTAGTGTGAAACCAGAGTCATTGTACTGTACAAACACAACACCATTATTTTCCTACACAGATGTCACAATTTTGTCCAAACTCATAATGATAAAATCAAAGGCAACAAGAGTATCAGTGAAAGTAATAAATGCTCCCGAAAATGACTTTATTAGAAACAAAATTTTACCAAAGCGCAATAATTCTGTAATTAAGAAGATGCAGGCCTTGAATTTGGTATACAGTACATTTTCTTAGTAAGACCAATGTATACACTAAGTTTTATTATCCTAGTTTTAATGCAAGCAAAGCTATGTTCATTGACAAAAAAAATAAAAAAAGGGCAATAACTCTGTAACAATAAAAAAGGTAAAAATGACAGTTCATCCCTATACTTCATCAAACGCATCCTACATCACTGCTCTGCAAGGACTAAAAATTCAGAATACATCTCACTTGTATGATCAACATCAGAATATTGAACAATATCACCTCCAATCCGATTCTGACAAATATCCAACAGAAAGCAGTGATGTTCAGAACTTGTATCTAGAAATCAAGAAACAAAGACTGCGTCATAAAGATGCCAACAAACCAAGATTTATGAACTCTGCAGCAATACAGAAATGTTTCAAGACAAACCCAACTCAGTAATGGAAGATGAAAAGGAATAAGGAGGCTGAGGGTTTGCCACCAGCAATACCACCTGACCTTTACCTTATGCAGGTACTGGAGCACCGGCAAACCAGTTGGTAAAACAAATGTTTTTTGTCATAGTATACCATTTCCGGTCAGTTGGTTAAATTTTATTGTTGCTTTTTTTGTTACTTGCATCCCTTTATCCACAAGTTCTGATGGAGAGACATAAAATTTCCTTAATTCATCACTAAAATACATATTTCACTTGCTTTCACATTCATTCTGGGTTATATTTTTTTGCACGGAGACATTGTGCTGAAAGCACACCTGTGGCTCGAATCTGCACCAAAGGGATGCTTATCTGCAGATTACAAAATGTGTGAATGATGGATGGACTCGCTATAAGAGTTTGTTTCTAGATTGTGAGTGTATGTGGATACTGAATGTATGTAACATTGAAATTTCAATAAATCAACTGAAACATGCCAAAAACATTCATTTCAATGACTTACATGAATTGTCACCCATTTTTCTGATCTACATAAAAGAACGGATGTTTACATTTTGCCATATACAGTAAAACCTCGTTAAAACGCCACCTTCCGTTCCAGTCCATTTTTGGCGGTATATCGAGGGTGGTGGTTTAACAAGGGAGCTGATCATCAGGTGATCTTTCATAAGTAAAATGTTAACAAAATGACAAACATCAATATACAGTATACAGAAAGTGTTTATTGAAACACTATAAATCGAAACAATGTATATGAAAAGCACGTCCGTGCTAGGGTACAATATATAATATATAATTAGGCCTAAGTTACGTCATTCGTCAATGACAGTCACAATATATAAATGTCAGATCTATAACCTGTATCCTGGTGCAACCATGAAACATTGTCGTACATTGGATCATGTATCACTTACTTGTGAGTCTCTGGAAAAAACTGTGTATCAGCCGCTGAATCAACGTTTCTGTGGTGATCCGATCCACAGTTTTTTGCAGAGACAGGCATGCTCCAATGTCCGACTCTGTTGCCAAGCTGGAGCTCTCCAGGTAGCGTAATACGGTCTCTAACCCGTCTTTGGCCTCTCTGTCTGATGGAGGAGCCCGAATTACCTCAATGTCTTTGTCTGATAGTCTGTCATCTTCGTCCGTGTCCTGAGTTGACTGTACGGTGTCAATGATATTGACGTCTGTCAGTATTTCCGAATTCTCCATGTTTTTGTCCATGTCTATAAACTGTCGTACAGTCAGTCTCATATCTGGGTCTATATCGAGGTTATTTTGCACACGGGCAAGTAAATTTGTCATGTCGTAACATACGGTAAAATAAACCTGTTTCGTCTACGTTAAAAATGTCTTTCATTTCTGGCTTTTCATTAGGGCTTTCTGATGTCCATCTCTAATTAAATCAGGATCAATACCCGCACTTTCACCAGAAATAACGTGGGACGAAATCCCATGTCTTGCCTTAAATCTAAGGAAATCGGTTACTCCCAAGTCATCACCAAAACGTTCGGCTTTTATTTTTAAAAGTTTGTGCGTAATTGGAATGTTTTGTGATCGAGCACTTGTAAACCATAGAAATAAAGCATGTTACATTTCAATGTGCTGCCCCGTACGATGACGTTTTCTGGGAGGAGTTCCTGTATCGTCATTATCGACAATATCTTCCTTTTTCATGATAATGTCGCCAATAGTTCTTCTTTTTATAGGGATATCCCACTACGCAGTAAAATGGTTTGCTATTTCCTGACGGGATGCCTTGGGCTTAATCTTTACATATTCTAAGATCTTGGATTTCTGATCAAAGTCCAAAAGGATACGTTTTCTTTTAGGCATAGTAGATATATTCATATTGAATTCAAATTTGAAACTAAGACGGTGAATATTGTGATATAGAAACATAATAAAGACATGCACATACGTAATAATGTGAGTCTTATTCAACTTCCAAATATCACAAGTACTTACCTGTATGACAACATCGACACTGTACACTACTGAGCACGCTACATAAACTTGCATGTGCCTGATTTGGGTAGCACAGTAAACACAGTGTTCTATTTTTAGAATCGATCGAGAGTTGTGGCGATAGTTACCAGGGGCTCCATAAGGGGATTTAGCACATTTGTTCTCAAGATGATATGCCGGTATGCGAGTCTGGTGGTTAAACGAGGGCATTTAATAGGGGGAAATTTGTTCCACAAAGAAATATGGCGATAGGCGAAGGTGGCGGTTTAACGGATGGCGATAGATCGAGGTTTTACTGTATATGTATTGTCAGATTTGACTATGTAGCCAAATCTGCCTCTATAATGAGATTTTCTGATGCTCTAGTACTTGTAAGCCACACAGGGAAAAGGGATGTATTTGACACACAGATTTGTGGGCCTTCTTACAAACAATGTTTAGGACGAATCACAGAAAAAAAAACAACAGCTGGTGTTACACACGTGTCAGTGTTAAAACATACACTTTGTAATCGATATCTTAACTTCACAACTTTCGGACGGAAAAGCCAATTCAGCCACTGTGGACATCTGAAAATCTCACAAATATGGTAAATAACTTAATGACCTTCTCTTTCCAGTTGATAATATGCCAGAAGATACAGATTCTGATACATATTTACGTTGTTGTTCCCAACTTGGTGTAGGCATGATGATGAAATCATATGCTTCTTCGGGGAAAGAGAAACAAACTGTAACCATTATTACTCAAATTTAATCAGTCGTCTACTTAAATAAAACACCAAGAATAATCAAACCTACCGCAATCCTAAAATCAGTGTGCTGATTAGCGAATTGGATCAAGTATGTTCTCAGGGAACGTGATCCGCTCATGGGCGCAGCCATATTGGGAAACATAGGGTCAGACTATTCACAGGATCGGGCAGGAAAAATAGAGACGTCCGATCCCGCTACGACGAATTACCGAAAAGACAGCCATTTACCGAAAAGACAACAGAATTACCGAAAAGACACCGAAAGACAGTTATTATCAATATTACACTAGTTTTTCGGGTGTTGAATGGAACTAAAACCATTCCGATCTCAATTCAAGTCATGATTTCTTCAATCTTTGCAGTCTTTAATTACCTATTAGACGCTAGTTATTATTCCGTAATTCTCTGTTACCGCCATGGCTGACGAGCGTGATCGACAGCTCTAGGCTCCACCTACATTTTGCTGATATTTTCATTCAACCAATCAGGGTTGATTCTTTTGTTTATTTACCGATGGAGTGATCATTGTATGAAAACTGTCACGCTTCATTGCAACTGTCAATGGTTTCTAATTGCCGTCATTTGTTTTCTGCTTGTTGAGAGTATTTTTTCCATTATGACACCTGTCAGTTTGTTATTTCATGACAATGGTTGCATTGTTTCTTGTGTATTTTCCAGATTGTTGCAATAACATTTCGTCTATGATCAAATTGATGTCAACGGTAGAGATGAATTTTTCATGATGCGAAAATATACACTATATTGGAAGCATTTCCGTCTATCTGTTTTTGCTCTTTTATGGTTTCATCCCAATTTTAATAAAATGAATGCCACACGAGAATGGGTTGTCACACATACCAACAATACCCTTTAATACATGCCAATAACACACACCACATCCCTTAGCAGGGGACACTGTAGAAAAACAGTAAGATTCCCCCCCCCCCCCCCCCCCCGCCCTGTCTTTTTTTTTAAGTAACCATACCCACAACACCACATATATACACAAAAACATCACCTACATAAATACAACATACACTGGGCCGAGACCCAAAGCCAACAACCTTTACAAAATCTCTTCCACTCTTCCGTCCACCTTCTAATATACAAATCCCTGCTCTTGTAGGGTAGACATGTAGACGATTATACACAGTAATCTACAGTCTCCCGAACGACATCGTTTGTATAATAATTCTCATTAATTCCCACTAATCCCAAAAATCTACGCTAACCCAATTCCAGCACATTCTTTACATCACCCCATCACATCCACTCTCATAACTGAACTTAATAACACAGTTCCCCACTTTTAAAATCCACTCTAGACCAGCATGACTAACCTTGTCAAATGGTGGCTAGTAATCCCATCTAAAAATAACAAACCTACACCAGCTAACAAGCTAAACCTATTTTCCAATTTCCGACTTTCCCATACGCCCGGTGTACAGTGAGTCACGCCGTGCACGTTCAAGAACCTCTGCTGGAGGCTAATTGCTAGCCGCCACAGAGCATAGGTTTATGATAGGGAAATATAAAGTGAGACTAGAGTAGGACTAGGCGTTTCTGTGACAGTCCAAAATTTCCCCAGTTTTTTTTTTTTTTTTTTAGACGTTAGGGTATAGATTTAGTCAGATCTTTCCTCCCCATATTAGACCTGTTTGGTGATTACTAAAAAGCGAAATTGCACACCCTAATGCCTCGGCCCTACCAGCCCCCTCCCCCTTAGTGTCCTAGGCTCGGTTATAACCGGAACAAGGACGTTAAGCTAAAAAAAAACCAAAAAAACTAGAAATTGTTGTTAACAATTTTGCGGGCTTTTCACTTCTTTGGCGACAAGTTGACCGGAAGTTGACATTTATCCTGATAAGAATATATGAGAAAGATTCCTTGTTTGATAGTCTCTACAACATATCCAAAGATGAACTTTGAATCTTGAAACGTTAAGGAGATAAAACTACATAATAACGAAGAAATACACTTTTTAAAGGTTCAAACATATTTGACCCCTGTGACCTTGAATGTCGGTCAAGGTTATTCATATTTGCAAGCCTTATAATGTAACATCTGATAATCAATATATCACCAATATTAGTTCTCTAGACCTTCTGAGACTTGACAAGAAAATTGTTGAACACTGGTACCCTATTTTGTATGTTTGAACTTTGACACCTTTGGGAAACCGGAAGTCGACATTTTGAGGGAAGTTTTCCTTATGACAATCACTAGGAAGTCTCCACAGAAGGTTTATAATCAATTTTCATCATTGTATGCCTTCTAGAAATTGAGAAACTTTCATTTAACGATTTTTAGTTAATTGACATCTGTGACCTTGAAAGTGGGTCAAGGTCATTTATATTATCAAACTTTGTTGTCGGTTACAGATCCTTCTTGTACATGAAATATCAAGCCTCTAGGCCTTCCAGAACTTGAAAAGAAGTTTTTCAAAGATTGGTACCCTAAATAGCTCTTTCCAAGTTTGTGCCTTACCAAAAACCGGAAGTTGAAATTTTAAGGAAGTTTTTCTTATGACAATCAATAGGAAGTGTCCACAGAAGATTTATAATCAATTTTCATTTTTGTGTGCCTTCTAGAATGTGAGAAACTGTCGTTTAACGATTTTTAGTTAATTGACATCTGTGACCTTGAAGGTGGGTCAAGGTCATTTATATTATCAAATATCGTTGCCAGTTACATATGCTTCATGTATGTGAAATATAGAGCCTCTAGGCATTTCAGAACTTGAGAAGAAGTTTTTCAAAGATTGGTACCCTTAATAGCAATTTTCAACTTTGACCCCCTAACGCAAACCGGAAGTTGAATTTTGAGGTACGTTTCTCTTATATCACTCGACAGGAAATGTCCACAGAATATGTATGTCCAAAGGTGAAGACTTTGGGCAGCTTAACAATGTATGAAATATCAAGACTCAAGGCTTTGCAGAACTTGAGAAGAAGTTTGTCAAATTTTGTAACTTAAAATAACACTTTTGAACTTTGACCGGAAGACCGGAAGTTGACCTTTGATCCCAGTTTTTTTCCTGTGAAAAGTGTTTTCTTATTATTTTACATAATATGATTAAAACTGAGGTCACTAGCTGATAAAGTTCTTGAGTTACGGCATTTTAGGTAAAATCGGATATGACGTCATGGCGGCCATTTTGTTTTTCCGATGAATTTGAATATGTCACTAAATGGTAGAAGACATCTGGGGAAATCTTCTCAGAAACAATTTGATAAAATATAGCCCATCAATATTGATCTAGAACGAGTTTTTCCTATTTGTCGGCATTTTTACAAGATCAAAGGAAATTTTCAAAATGGCGTACAGCGGAAATGGCTAAGGTTTCAGAAGAACTGAAAACACTAAATTCATCGGAAGGACGTTCTGCATCGATGTGTTAAAGAAATTTTCAAGAAAAATCAAAATTGAAAAAAAAAATTGTTTTCAAATTTTCCTGCAAATTGTCTTCCGGTTTTGCGCGACCGAAACAGATATGAGTGTTTTATGTAATACGTCTTCATTTTTCCTTAAAAATGATCATAATGTTTAACATATGATGGTATTAATGCAAAAGTAATTCACTAAAATGAATAAAACGGCACTATTCTACCCCGATTTTGCCCGATCCTGTTAATCGTCTTTCGGTCTTGCGCGGCACAGTACGTTCTGCAAGAAAAATACAGTATTTTCGCCATTTTTGGTCAATTTGAAACTTGAATATTTGAATAATGATCATTTAAAAACAAAATATTTACAGTAAGAACAATTTAATGCCCAAATTCTACATATAAACCGCCCGATTCTGCCCGATCCTGTAAATTGTCTTTCAGTCTTGCGCGACCAAAACATACATGAGTGTTTTATGTAATACGTCTTCATTATTCCGTAAAACCTATTCATAATGTGTACCATATGATGATATCAATGCAAAAGAAATTCATAAAAAATAATTGAAACGGCACTATTCTTGTCCGATCCTGCCCGATTCTGCTCGATCCTGTAAATGTTCTTCCTTGTTTCGGTTATAACCGAGAAATGTAGAGCTCTTTCGCGTCCGAGATAAAATACTACAAAATATTCTCTATCGATGGGTTTTGCCTGATTGAGTAGGTTGATTTAAAAACTGATATGCAAAAAAAACACGTAAGTCTCATTTCCCCCTCTTTTAATCTGAGGAAAACTTATAAAAGACAAAATTCTGCGACATCTCATAAGGGCTAATTTAGAGAGTATCATACGAAAAGAAACTGTCATGGCTGCCCCCGGACAGGAGCTACTGTTTTGCAGCGTCAGAGATCAGTTGAAGTCGTCTCAAGATGCAATCATTACCACACTTCACTGGAGTCTCGTGTCTAATGGATACAAATGTATTGGACTTGGCGAAACGGTTGGTTGCCATTGCTTCGTTTAGCCAGAAATTGGAAAAAAATAGGGAGCATTAGATGCTGTCGCTATGTAATGAATGGGATGGGTCCGTCTGTTCTGATTGTAAACAAAATAACAAAGCATTATTCTGGGAGTGATTGTTATGAGCTGGGTACTTCATGAGTAATTGAATCTATGGTTTTCATTATATTTTTGAAATGATGAAATCTTTTATGAACCCATGATATAGAAGATACATGGTTTATACATGTCTGTAAGATCCTCATTAAAATACATCAATAAAATAATGATCGTGTTATAATCATGTGTACCATATTTTAAGATTTAAAATCTACTTTCAGACATCAGACAAAGACAGTCAAACAGAGTTACTGCCTTCTGGATGGAACGAGAATCAGGACCTTTACACAATGAGGTACCGACGAGAGGGTGAGCCGTCAACGGTATACATGCTCAAGGTCATCAGGATCGACAGTGACCTGCTTGTTAATTTCATGGTTTGTTCCATTAAGTTGTGATAATCACAAGTTTGTTTCTCTTTACCTTGCGCTGATGAGCATGACTTACAACTGAATATTTATGGTGTATGTAACTTGGGAATGTTCTGATTCATGACCATCCATTCTGCTTCAGATGCTGGACCATTGATACTGTATATAATCTATGGTCAATCAATTGCCAGCTATCCCAAAACATTACTTGTGCCAGTATTTCATGAAAAATGATGGATTTCATTATTTGAAAATGAATCCTTGGTCTTTAGACAATTGGAAAAAAAAAAAAAAAATTAATTGACAGGAAGCATCTTAGATTTTGAGAGTTGAAAACTTGCTATTGGCATTTCTTAATAGGTAGTAGATGGCAGTTTGTTAAATTCTTAATGTATGTTCCTTATATTTTTAGACTGAATGATAAAACAAATGGCTGACAGGCAGCTGTCTGATTTTGACATGTAAATTTGGGTGGCATTTTATCTCAAGAACTTATCAATACTTCTCAAAATCCACCTATAGTTCCCCTAGTTTCCTAGCTAAATTCAGTTTTGACACTGAAAGGAAAAATGAATTGATAATTTTACATCCTTGGATTTTGTTCAACATTTATCATTATGATCTAATTAACAGTTACAACAGTTTGAAAAAAAAAATGAAAGAATGCCAAGTATTTTGTCATGTTTTTACATTTCAGAATGTTGGTAAGGAAAGTGTTGTGAACTTAAACATCAGAACTAGAGACTTTACCACTGGAGTTCTGGCCTCATTTTGTAGGTAAGGTCCTACTTACAAATATATGTGTTTCTGATCCCAATAAATAGAATATTGAAATCATTCTCTTTTTAATTCAATTATAAACAACATTCTTCATTGAATGGTAAGGAAATGGTGTGCGAACACAATTTTGTGATAGTTTTGTGATAAGGCCATGGGGCCAACACATTACTGCTAAGTAAAAAAAGGTTGTGGACTTATCAAAGTACAATAAGCCAAGGGACCAACACATCATCACTGACTAAAATTAGGATGTTGACTTGTTACAGGACAATAAGTCTGGGCCAACACATTACTACTGACTAAAATTAGGATGTTGGTTTATAAATGGACAACAGGTCCACAGGGCCAACACATTACCACTGACTAAAATTAGGATGTGGACTTGTTGCAGGACAATAAGTCTGGGCCAACACATTACCACTGACTAAAATTAGGATGTTGACTTGTTACAGGACAATAAGTCTGGGCCAACACATTACCACTGACTAAAATTAGGATGTTGACTTGTTACAGGACAATAAGTCTGGGCCAACACATTACCACTGACTAAAATTAGGATGTTGACTTGTTACAGGACAATAAGTCTGGGCCAACACATTACTACTGACTAAAATTAGGATGTTGGTTTATAAATGGACAACAGGTCCACAGGGCCAACACATTATCACTGACTAAAATTAGGATGTGGACTTGTTGCAGGACAATAAGTCTGGGCCAACACATTACCACTGACTAAAATTAGGATGTGGACTTGTTACAGGAAAATAAGTCTGGGCCAACACATTACCACTGACTAAGATTAGGTTGTGGATTTGTTACAGGACAATCAGTCTGGGCCAGCACATTACTACTGACTAAAATTAGGATGTTGGTTTATAAATGGACAACAGGTCCACAGGGCCATGACATTACCACTGACTAAAATTAGGATGTGGACTTGTTACAGGACAATAAGTCTGGGCCAACACATTACCACTGACTAAAATTAGGATGTGGACTTGTTACAGGACAATGAAAAATTATTAAAGTTTATATTTCATAATTTTGCTGAACAGCAATATATGTATATACAACCATGCAATAGATTTTTGACAGATAAATATGGTAAGATTTGATTCAAAATTCATCTGGCTGACTTATAGATTTTATATAAACTATATAGAAAAAATATTTATTGGATTAAAACATGTTTTAATTGACTAGTAGGTAGACAAGACAAAAACAACATTAATTTATTTACTAGTTCTACTTTCAGTTTTAGTGGGAAAATGAAATCAACTGTTGCCTTGACAATTTGATGATGAATATAGATTATGATGTATGATCACATATCTCTGTATGATAACTTGTTGCCTTGGTAACTTCAGAGCAGACATCTTGAATATAGGTGCCTTGCTTAAGCATTACCAGACAAAAAAGTTGTCCAATGTTCCTATCCAAGTTTTATCAAGAAACACTGACTTGGATCTCATACTGGACAAACAAACTGAAAAAGTTTAACAGGTGTAAGATGTAGATTGAAGAGGTGCAGGATAAAATATTAAAGATCTAGATTCATGGTTTATGTAAAGTTTTATATTGGGATGTAAGGTTAAAGGTTAGTTATGATTATTTGATTGTGGGGAAAAAATTAGGCTTTTAAGTGAGGTAAATTTTAATGCTTACAGGTAAAATTCTTTGTCTATGATCAAAACATAGTATAAAAACAAAATTTTGTAGATAAGGTATGCATCCGTCTGTCTATCCATCAGTATGAATAGTTCCTTGTGACTCTGACAAGCCCCACAATCATTTCACCGATGGATCACAGGCAAATATTTCTCCGCCATACTAATCTTCAGGCATTTTACAGTGCATTCCAAAACCTGGATGTCCTTTGTTCACAATTCAAGAGGGAGATTCTTGATGCAGTGTTGAAAGGTGATAAAAAATGTGTGTCCACAAGTCAAGCTGACACCTCAAAATCATCACAGGAAAGAAAGTCACAGGAAAGGGAAAGGTCATACATGGAGGATTATGACCCATTGCAAATACCACCCCGACACCCTCACATGCCACAAAGGCCACCAGACTGGTAAGTGATTGCTAATGGTCAATTTCTTGACCTTGACATAAACGATAAATTAATGACTTTTAACGAAAGAATTTCTCTCTGCAATCTTGTAAAATAATTGAATTTACCTAATTGTTAAATTGACAAGGTAGAAATGCACAAATGCATTGGACTACTCAGTACTATTAATGAATATTTAATTTCAAGGGAGATGACTCTAAACCTCTAAGTGATGAGGAAATAGATTTTGTTCTGTTGATTTAAAGGTCAGATGCTGACGACCCTTTCTCAATCGGAAGAGCAGATCTTGACCCCTTGGGAAGAGGAGGTGGTATGCGATTTGACCCATTTCGAGGAAACCGTCCTGGAATGAGACCCGACCCAAACGCTGGATTACCTCACCCACTTCCTCCGTATGTTTAAATTTCATTATATTCTTACCTCCACAACATTTACATATTTAGAGATTTGTTTACATATAGAATTAAAGAAACATATAACTTGCATTGTTTGTATTAAAAACAAAACAAAAACGATGTGTACATATGTACTAGTAACTGATAAAACTTACAACACATATCCTGAAATGTGAAGTAGCTGTTGTTGACATTATTGTCAGACCTGGACTGATGGATGGATATCATTCATAAACCTGTCGATGGGTTCACAATCAGTGATTTATCTTCATTTCAAAACTTCGGGACACTTTCTATGAAAACAAGAAAATACAGAGACATTCCTTATATATAGCAAGTGAAATTTCCCAATTTTAATGGGACAATTAAGAAAAGTTATTTGTCGTGGGACTTGTAGATAAATTAATTACTGATAATGGTGATAAATCAAGTATTTCAAGTATAATGACAGATATACATTGGTATTGAGGGAAGTCTGGTTTTGCATGCATCACCTATAAATATACTGTTTTCAAGGGGAGCTGTACCACCAGGAGCCAGGTTTGACCCTTTTGGACCCCCAGGAGGGCCTGGACAGAGACCAGGGTAAGAGTAGATTTTATAATGAGAATCAACATTATAACATTGGATTCTATTTTGTCACTTTTTTCAAGAGTAGTAGTCATAGAATTGTGTAAATTATAATTTTGCTATGCATTTTGATACAATCAAGAAAATTATATATTTAATAAATGAACTTGACTTGGCTCATGCAAGAGGTATTCATTTCTAGATACAAGTATGGCAGTTCTACTTAATTTTGCATAATAAAGAGATATATTATTTATAAATACTGAAAATATACTTTATTTCGTGCAAATAAATGTTAGCATGTTTTCAAATTTTTGCCAATATTTTGATGCAAATATATTGATGCAAAAAAATCTGAAATAGTACTACTTTTTTAATATGCATGTCTACAGTATCCCAATCTTAGCATGCTTCCATCATTGATATTATAAAGCATTCTTTTCAGGTGGATTAAATATATGTATGAAAAGATTTTCATATAATAAAACCAGTTTGAAATTTTTTTTTCTATCTTGAATGTTAAATTGTTTCCCATTTCTGATTTACATAGGGTGTAGTGTGAAGAAATTAGCATGACCTTGACCCAATTTCTCAAGAGTATTTATTTCTTCAACTAAACACAAGGGTAATCAGAAGTACAGAAATATTCATTGTTGATTTTATTTTGATGATTTTATGTTTGTAAAAAAAAGAACACATCATTATCATGATAGAGCTGTTACTTATGTACAACATTTATGAAAGAATTTGATGTAGAACAGAATGCTTTAGTCTGATTATTGTTTACAACTTCAGGCCTGATCCTGACCATGAACTACCACCTGGTTATGGTGATATGTTTATGTAACAAACAAGATCCTTCTTCTCCGACACAGCCATTGACGATACCAAGATTGCGAAACTGTTGTTATTGAGACAAATCTGGGGATTGTTATAGCTGTTATATACCTGGAAACTCTTAGACACCAATTAAAACTTTCCAAAGAGTGTGATATGGATATTGTTTAAAGATATCTGAAGAATATATGTTCTACACTCAGTTAAAAGATTTCTTAAAAGTGTGAAATAGATGTCATATGTAGATTGTGAAATTTACATGTGCTACACTTGATTTAAAGATTTCTAAGGAATTGTGACATTAATATTTTTTTTAAAAAGTACCTGAAGACTACATGTTCTACACACAGTTAAAAGATTTCTAAGGAATTGTGAAATGGATTTAGAGATTTAGAGAGAGACACACAGAGAGACAGAGAGAGGAGAGAGAGAGAGAGAGAGGGAGACAGGGAGGGAGAGAGAGGGGGGGTGGAGAGAGGGAGGGAGGGAGAGACAGAGAGGAGTGAAGGAGACGCAGAGGGAGAGAGAAGTTAATGCCAATTTGTAGATATTGTGATACTGTTAGAAAATAGTAGTATTAAATACTGGTCTGTTAAAATACCACCAAATGTATGTGGTGAACCTATAAGCCAGGTAAGATTAAATACTGGTCTGTTAAAATACCACCAAATGTATGTGGTGAACCTGTAAGCCAGGTAAGATTAAGTACTGGTCTGTTAAAATACCACCAAATGTATGTGGTGAACCTGTAAGCCAGGTAAGATTAAATACTGGTCTGTTAAAATACCACCAAATGTATGTGGTGAACCTGTAAGCCAGGTAAGATCATTTATCTGCTATTTTTGTTTTGTTTAAATTTAAAATGTTTGTTTTGTTTATTAGTAAAATATTTCATGTCATTATTATTGGAATAAACAATTACCCTGGTAAAACTGATTTAGTTTATTTCTTGTCTTGTCCTGTTAAGTATGTGAGTGTTAGTAAGGAAGATGAGGATCTGAGACAGCACCTTATGTTCCTTTATTTCTTGTCTTGTCCTGTTAAGTATGTGAGTGTTAGTAAGGAAGATGAGGATCTGAGACAGCACCTTATGTTCCTTTATTTCTTGTCTTGTCCTGTTAAGTATGTGAGTGTTAGTAAGGAAGATGAGGATCTGAGACAGCACCTTATGTTCCTTTATTTCTTGTCTTGTCCTGTTAAGTACGTGCCTATACTTATGTGCAATTTTGATAAAATCTGGTCATTACAGTAATTTACACGTCGAGTATAGTTTTATTAGGGCCCCACATCAGGATGTTGCTGCTCCACAGTAATCAGCTTGTCTGTCCATCTGTCCCATTCTGCACAATAACTTGTGTATTTTTGTCAGATTTTCACTGAATTTGGTATTTGACTTAATGTTTATGACATCTTGCATGGGTGTGATAGCCTGTGAAATCTGTCAATATTTACAAGAGTAATGGGACTTTCAATGAAAAAAAACCCGATATGATAGCCATTCTATAGGTAGTTTAATGTTCTCCAAGTTTAGTATATGACTTCATATTACATTGGTTTGCTATCAATGCATTGGGTGAAAATTTGCAGGAGTTATGAGTTTTTAAATTCTGAAAAGTGACCATTTTATAACTGCTTGCATAATAACTTGTGTATTTGTAGTCGGATGTTCTCCAAATTCTGTATATGGGTTTAACTTAATTAGATCTCACATGAGGTTGATAACCAGTGTCATCCATATATATTTGCAAGAGTTATGGGACTTTGAATGACAAAAATTTACAATTTTGCTGTCAGATTTTTCACCAAAGTATGCAGATTTATATACACAAGACATTGCATGGGTTCAATAACCATTGGAATCCAAGAGTTACTGTGACATGAAATGCCAAACAATTGGCGATTTAATGCCATTCTGCACAATAAGTTTCAGGTAGTATTCAGATTTTCACCAAATTTATGTGTTACCTCTTATACATGAGACCTTGTGTGTGTTCTTCTCCAACTCACCATAATGGTTCCCATATTGATCATGTTAGATACGAGATCATTTCTGGTCATCCAAATGTGGACATGTTCTGGCGATCATAAACAGATATTTGTGGACTGTATGGTATAGAGAGCAATAATGTAACTCCACAATCTGGGCATTCTACCTGGTATATACGGAGGAAAATTGTACTGTTAAATACAATAAATTACAAATGACATTTTTAATTCTTTGTGTGTTACACCCATCTCATAAACATAATAAACAAGATGTGTTTATGAAATAGTATGCCCCCAGTTCAAACAAAATTCTGAAGTGGGACATTTCAACTGTACTGTGTAAGGCATGTACTGTGTGCATGCATTCTTTGTGTAACACTGATATCATCATTGTGGTACAAAATTACAAATTGAATGAATGAATTACAGAATGAATGACATACTAATTACAGAGAGATCTAATGAATGAATGTCATCAGAGTGTTGGATGAGAGCCTTCTTCAATGAGGATATATTTCTACAGATGATGAATACACGATCACAACCCTAGCAGTAGTGCTGAATTCACCGTCACAACCCTGGCAATAGTGTTGAATCCAGTGTCACAACCCTGGCAGTAGTGCTGAATCCACAGTCACAACCCTGGCAGTAGTGCTGAATCCAGAGTAACAACCCTGGCAGTAGTGCTGAATCCACAGTCACAACCCTGGCAGTAGTGCTGAATCCACAGTCACAACCCTGGCAGTAGTGCTTAATCCAGTGTCACAACCCTGGCAGTAGTGCTGAATTCACAGTCACAACCCTGTCATTAGTGCTGAATCCAGGGTAACAATCCTGGCAGTAGTGCTGAATCCACAGTCACAACCCTGGCAGTAGTGCTGAATACACGGTCACAGCCCTAGCAGTAGTGCTGAATCCAGGGTCAAAACCCTGGCAGTAGTGCTGAATCCAGGATAACAACCCTGGCAGTAGTGCTGAATCCACAGTCACAACCCTGGAAGTAGTGCTTAATCCAGGGTCACAACCATGGCAATAGTGCTGAATCCACAGTCACAACCCTGGCAGTAGTGCTTAATCCAGTGTCACAACCCTGGCAGTAGTGCAGAATCCAGGGTAACAACCCTAACATTAGTGCTTAATCCAGGGTCAACCCTGGCAGTAGTGCTGAATCCACAGTCACAACCCTGGCAGTAGTGCTAAATCCAGGGTCAACCCTAGCAGTAGTGCTGAATCTACAGTCACAACCCTGGCAGTAGTGCTGAATCCAGGGTCACAACCCTGGTGGTCGTGCTGAATTCAGGGTCACAACCCTGGCAGTAGTGCTGAATACATGGACACAACCCTGGCAGTAGTGCTGAATACATGGTCACAACCCTGGCAGTACCCTGGCAGTAGTGCTGAATCCACAGTCACAACCCTGGCAGTAGTGCTAAATCCAGGGCCAACCCTAGCAGTAGTGCTGAATCTACAGTCACAACCCTGGCAGTAGTGCTCAATCCAGGGTCACAACCCTGGCAGTAGTGCTGAATCCACAGTCACAACCCTGGCAGTAGTGCTGAATCCACAGTCACAACCCTGGCAGTAGCAGGGTCACAACCCTGGCAGTAGTGCTGAATACACGGTCACAACCCTAGCAGTAGTGCTTAATCCAGGGTCACAACCCTAACAGTAGTGCTTAATCCAGGGTCACAACCCTGGCAGTAGTGCTGAATACATGGTCACAACCCTGGCAGTAGTGCTTAATCCAGTGTCACAACCCTGCCAGTAGTGCAGAATCCAGGGTAACAACCCTAGCAGTAGTATTGAATCCACAACCCTGGCAGTAGTGCTGAATCCACAGTCACAACCCTGGCAGTAGTGCTGAATACACGGTCACAACCCTAGCAGTAGTGCTTAATCCAGGGTCACAACCCTAACAGTAGTGCTTAATCCAGGGTCACAACCCTGGCAGTAGTATTGAATCCACAGTCACAACCCTGGCAGTAGTGCTGAATCCACAGTCACAACCCTGGCAGTAGTGCTGAATCCAGGGTCACAACCCTGGCAGTCGTGCTGAATTCAGGGTCACAACCCTGGCAGTAGTGCTGAATACATGGTCACAACCCTGGCAGTAGTGCTGAATCCAGTCACAACCCTGGAAGTAGTGCTGAATCCAGGGTAACAACCCTGGCAGTAGTGCTGAATCCACAGTCACAACCCTGGCAGTAGTGCTGAATCCACAGTCACAACCCTGGCAGTAGTGCTGAATCCACAGTCACAACCCTGGCAGTAGTGCTGAATCCACAGTCACAACCCTGGCAGTAGTGCTGAATCCAGGGTCACAACCCTGGCAGTAGTGCTGAATCCACAGTCACAACCCTGGCAGTAGTGCTGAATCCAGTCACAACCCTGGAAGTACAATCCACAGTCTGGCAGTAGTGCTGAATCCAGGTCACAACCCTGCAGTAGTGCTGAATCCACAGTCACAACCCTGGCAGTAGTGCTGAATCCAGGGTCACAACCCTGGCAGTAGTGCTGAATCCACAGTCACAACCCTGGCAGTAGTGCTGAATCCAGGGTCACAACCCTGGCAGTAGTGCTGAATCCACAGTCACAACCCTAACAGTAGTGCTTAATCCAGGGTCACAACCCTGGCAGTAGTGCTGAATACACGGTCACAACCCTAGCAGTAGTGCTTAATCCAGGGTCACAACCCTAACAGTAGTGCTTAATCCAGGGTCACAACCCTGGCAGTAGTGTTGAATCCACACAACCCTGGCAGTAGTGCTCACAACCCCTGGCAGTAGTGCTTAATCCAGTGTCACAACCCTGGCAGTAGTATTGAATCCACAGTCACAACCTTGGCAGTAGTGCTGAATCCAGGGTCACAACCCTGGCAGTGTGCTGAATCCAGTGTCACAACCCTGGCAGTAGTGCTGAATCCACAACCCTGTCACAACCCTGGCAGTAGTGCTTAATCCAGGGTCACAACCCTGGCAGTAGTATTGAATCCACAGTCACAACCTTGGCAGTAGTGCTGAATCCAGGGTCACAACCCTGGCAGTAGTGCTTAATCCAGTGTCACAACCCTGGCAGTAGTGCTGAATCCAGGGTCACAACCCTAGCAGTAGTCACAACCCTGGCAGTAGTGCTCAATCCAGGGTCACAACCCTGGCAGTAGTGCTGAATCCACAGTCACAACCCTGGCAGTAGTGCTGAATCCACAGTCACAACCCTGGCAGTAGTGCTGAATCCACAGTCACAACCCTGGAAGTAGTGCTTAATCCAGGGTCACAACCATGGCAATAGTGCTGAATCCACAGTCACAACCCTGGCAGTAGTGCTGAATACACGGTCACAACCCTAGCAGTAGTGCTTAATCCAGGGTCACAACCCTAACAGTAGTGCTCAATCCAGGGTCACAACCTTGGCAGTAGTGCTGAATCTACAGTAGTGCTGAATCCAGGGTCACAACCCTGGCAGTA